ACACACACACACACACACACACATACACAAAACAACAAATTGCTTGGACTATCTATCAATGGACTTGCTTCTTGTGTTTGAAACACTTGTGTGCATGAGAATGTCAATTGCTAAAGAATTTTAAAAAAAATATCTATTATAAAACAAAAATATGCCACAATGTGAAGTGTGCAATGTCATTTCATAAGTCCTTTTTCCTCTGATGCCTACGCAGCAATACCAGGCTGCAGTGAACTATACTATTTATTGTTCAAGTTTTACTGATGCTAGTTATATGTCTTCTTAAACTGGATAATGTTAGTGACATTGAACCAACCCCCCCATGGTAGTGTAACTGTTCTTTAGCAAGTATGTCACCCTTCTGCTATATAGCCGTAGTGGACAGACTGATAGCAGCTTTAGGAGTCTGATCCAGCCATGTGCTTGTACTGTCAGTGGATATAAATGTATTTCATTTGCATGACTTTTAGGTTTGCCTTAATTCTTACCTCATTTGCATCCTTCATTTGGGAAAAAAAAGAGAAAAAGGCTCATGTCAGAGGAATGAAGGATAAAGCTTTAAAAAAAGCTAACCCCACTAAGGTGTTCCAATCGGTGAAGGCTAAACAAACAAACAAATAGAGAAGTAGAGGGGGAAAAAAACATATTTTCAATGTTGTTCTACTGGAAGTTTAAACTGTTTTGCTGGGAGTGTATTAATTTCTGCTTGAAATTTTCATAAGCTTCCCAAAAGGTTGAGATCAACTTCCCCAAATAAATTTATAACCTTTGACTTCTCATGTGTTTCCTTTTACACAGGTACCTTGCTGCTAGCGCTGGAATTAAATAGATGATAAACGCTATTCGATAGCCAAATATTTTCTCAGTGGAGCTTCCATGTATGTATGGGGACTTCACCCTGATGTTTACAGAACTCAGCTCCAACCCATTTTTTTTTGCAGGTTTAATGGACAGGAGGAATAACCCTGAGGAACAGAAGGAAGAGCTGCAACCAAGGCAATAGTCAGATAAAAGAAATTTAAGTCCAAAACAGAAATGTAATTTGAGAAAATGTCTCAGACTTGACTCTCCCTAGTTATCACCAAGAAAAAGAGAGGGAGGGAGGGGAAAGCGTGTTTGGACTTACAAGATTCTGTTACTGTAACCATATAATAAAAGTAGTTTTAGCATTCATAACTTTGGTTTTCCAGTCTGGTCTACTGCAAAGGGCTAACGTCAGCCTTTCGTAATTCCTAAAAACTACAATTAAAGTCAGTTGATTCTCTGGGTCTCGTTCTTGTATCGCACATTCTAGGAACAATCAAAACACTTGAGCTCCAGCAAAAGGTGGTATATAGTTCTAGTTTTAATTTCTAGAATGGTTTCTAAAGAAGGCATCTGAAAGCCTGAGTTGAAAGGCATTTGATCCCAGAAGAAGGACTGTGGAAGTATAAAAAAACATTAAATCTCAAAAAAAAATCAAAGCACACCAGTTTAGCTGAACTGTTGATCCTGTAATTACTATTGTTCAAAAAGGTTTTCTTTTCTGAGAAAAAATATATTGTAAGAGTTCACAGCCGGATTCCCGGTTTGTTTTTCCAAGATACGCCAAGTAGCAAAATCTTGGAAACAGGTTAAAGGAAAACATTGGCAAAGAATGCAAAGCTAGTTTCCTAAATATGGCTCTTAATGGATTTCCTATTGTCACCGTTGCCTTAGTAAGAAAAGCTGAGTAGCAATCACTACTGTAGTTTGAGTATCACAGTGGAATGCAAAAGCTAACACAATTGTTGCAAAGAAATCCACCTTATAGTTTACTAGCTTTGTCCCTGAAAATATGAGCTGTTTCAACAAAAGTGTGGAAGCATATCCTAAGCACATCTAATTGAAAAGCATCTTCCTGAAACTCCTGCCATGTTAAAATGCAGGTAAATGACAACATTGAAAATGTCATTTATTGTCCTAAACATCAGGCCAAAAGAACCATAGTCAAGTGGACACAGGCATCTACAAATGGTTCAGTGGCTTCCTGTGAAATCCAAGGTGCTCAGTTCCAAGATCTTGGCGGTTCAAGTCCTGACACCTCCAGGTGATATTGATACCTGTGAGGCAATATGCACCTTGATAGATCGCTCTCATTTGAACTCATACAGCCAAGAGCTAGACCAGTCTAAATGACCTCAGCATCTGAAAGATACTTCCCATAGTATACAGTATATGATGATAATCTAACTTGGAGGTGGTAAGTGATAAGAGCAAGTCTGGATTCTCTAGGAAAGGGTGGAGTTTAGGTCAAATGGACTTCTTCAGAAGCAGTTCAAACCACTCTTGTAAAACTGCAGATCTGGATTGAAACTTGTTCCCTAACTTGCAAATCTTGTGTTTTAGATCACCAGTAACTTCACACAGAGCAGGCAGAAATCTAATCCAGTATTATTAGATTTCTTAACTGTATTTCTCTCTTGTCTGGATTCAGTTATAAAATATGGATTCTCAACCGGTCTAAAACTACCGGACAAAATTCTGTACTTCCACTATATTCCAAAATGGGTAAATAAGAATGACTATTTAAATTCTACACACTCTCCTTATAAAAACATTTCACAATCAATTATAAAAGTGAACTTAATAGTTCACTGATGAACCTCCCCACTCCCTCTCCTTGCCTGGAATAAAAAATAAATAAATCTACAAATAATATGTGGTTTCAGGTTAATTTATTGCAGGGGCTGAGGGATACTATTTAACTTCCCACTCGTCCTAAGGGGCATAGCAGGCCATTCAGAGTTATAGCTACATCGCCAGAAGGGACAGAGATGGTTTTATTTTCAATTTATAGCTGACTAGATAGAATTGTCACTCTCCACTTTTACAATATACTCAGAGCACATAACAGAAGAGGAGAGGAGACAAATTTGGCTGTTTCATCTCAAGATTATCCATGCAAATCCAGAGCACTGAAGAGAGTTCACTAAAGGTAAAAAAAATAAATACGGCTTTAAATATTACAGAAATATTTAAAATGCAGTGGGGATAAAACTGCAGAATCTGAAGTCAAACTCAAGCAGGAGTGCCTAAGAGAGCCTTCAGTATACAGGTAGTCCGACTTAACCACCCCTAATTGGGATCGGAATTCCTGTTGCTAAGCAAGCAGTTGCTAAGTGAGCCACACCTGATTTTGCAACCTTTTTTTGCCATGGTTGTTAAGCAAATCGTTAAGCGAATCATGCAGTCATGAGGCTGGTCCCGTTGACTGTTTGGAAGCCACTTGGCAAAGGTGACAACTGGCAACCACATGACCCCAAAGCCTGCAGAAATCCACAGAGCGGGATAGGGGAAGATAGGTGGAAGGGGGGTCATTGCAGCATCCCTGAGGTCAGTCGTAAGGATGGGTGGATTGTCAAGCACCTGAATTTTGTTCTTGTGTCTAGTAGACAATCATTTAAATATGAGCCAGCAGTGTGCTGCAGCTGCCCAAAAAGCCAACTCAGAGCTGGGCTGCATTAACAGAGGGATAGAATCAAGATCACGTGAAGTATTAATACCACTTTACAATGCCTTGGTAAGGCCACACTTGGAATACTGCATCCAGTTTTGGTCACCACAATGTAAAAAAGATGCTGAGACTCTAGAAAGAGTACAGAGAAGAGCAACAAAGATGATCGGGGGACTGGAGGATAAAACATATAAGGAATGGTTGCAGGAATTGGGTATGTCTAGTTTAACGAAGAGAAGGATGAGGGGGGACATGATAGCAGTGTTCCAATATCTCAGGGGCTGCCACAAAGAAGAGGGAGTCAAGCTATTCTCCAAAGTGCCTGAAGGCAGGACAAGAAGCAACGGATGGAAACTAACCAAGGAGAGAAGCAACCTAGAACTAAGGAGAAACTTCCTGACAGTTAGAACAATTAACCAATGGAACAACCTGCCTCCAGAAGCGGTGAATGCTCCAACACTGGAAGTTTTTAAGAAGAGACTGGACAGCCATTTGTCTGAAATGATATAGGGTTACCTGCCTGAGCAGGGGGTTGGACTTGATGACCTCCAAGGTCCCTTCCAACTTTATTATTATTATTATTATTATTATTATTATTATTATTATTATTATTATTATTATTATTATTATTATTACTACTACTACTACTACTACTACTACTACTACTACTACTACTACTATTACTATTATTATTATTATTATTATTATTATTATTATTATTATTATTATTATTATTATTATTATTATTATTATTATTAAATTCAGGCAGGAGTCATAACTCCATTCAGCCCACATCGTTTCGAACGATTGCTGAACGAGTGGTCATAAGTCAAGAATTACCTGTACTCAGTCCTCCACTTCTTTGTTTTGGCATCTTTCTTGGCAAAATGCAACGCAAAGCAGACGGAGGATAATCCTGCCTTTGGTAGCTGAGAAAGAATGTGTTGATTTACTGGGGAAATTGGTAAAGACATATGATAGAAAAACAGATTTTTCTGGGGGAAAAAATACCAAAATTGATCACAAGGTAAGCATTTTAAAATTTAAAAAAAATGCAGAAAACTCATTTTGAAAAAATTTTAAAAAATTCTAGGCCTAGAAAGTCAACTTTTAACTGCCCACAAATATTTTATATCAGCAGATTCCTCAATGCCAATCACAGTCTCCTACATCATGTCACAACACATTGCGGTCCAGCTCTCATCAGCAATGTGTGTCTATGGAGAAAAGGGCAACCTCAGACAAATGACTGTCGTGCAGGTTCCTTAAAGTGAGAGTGATATCAGACATCTGTCTTGTCACACAGCTGGAAAGCAGTTTTTAAGGTGAAAGACTCAGCTAAGTTTGACGTGTTCAGCATCTTTTTTTTTTTTTAACACTTGCTGGCATCCCTCTCGTGTACCTGAACTTGAAGACAGAATTGCATATCAACGTATTAAATACTTGAAAACGAAGGGACATTCAAACCGTAGGCTGCTCACATCAAAGGCCATTATGGAAGCCCTTATTGTGAATTGTAGCCCCTGTACTGAGAAAATTGAATGTTTTTTGGTACTCCCAAAGAATGTTGTATAGATAGTCCTTAAGACAAATAGCTTAACATCCGTTTGGAGTTACAATGGACCTCCCCAGAACTACTTAAGACTTGGATTCAACGTCCCAACAGCCGCCCTGTTCCGCTGGTCCTGTGATCGCATTTTGGGTACTCAGTATCTGGCCCACTGTCACATGACCACAATTTATGTCTTTTGCCACAATTTATGACCACCACAAAAAGGTCATAAAATCAGGCATGGTCACATGGTGACCTGTTTAATGATCAGCACAAATTACAAGCATATATCCAACCTCCATTATGATCTTGAGAACTGTCTGTATTTGGAGGAGCAAGAGGACAATAAATACTACATTCCCTCTCATCCTTTCTCAGCATGGATCATCTATTAGGGTGATCTGTAAGGATGGATGACCTGCTGTCTTCCCAATTTTGAACAAGCTATCCCATTTCTCATCATTGGTAATGCTAGCTGGGGCTGGCAAGAGTCAAAAAACTAAAAGGGGCGTTGTCTTACCTGAACGCCTACGTCCGTCCATGGGCAAGATTAAGTCAAGACTGGGAATCTATGGTCCAGGACGGGCGTGGCAACTTTGGCTGACTTAATCTGATTGGGCAGGAATACAGTCTACTACCCATGGGTGGATCCTCCATCTCCAGTGCTGGAGAAACATCCAGACATGTTGCTTACTCTCACAGTAAGCTGATTGAGGGATTTTCATTCTGTAAACTAGCCTTTAATTTAGACTGGAGTGAAACTCAAAATTGCTGGATTTAAGACAATGTGGATTTGAACATACTGTAGTTCCCCTTCCTCAAATCATACCTATTGCTCAAAAACTTAAATCATCACTTCTTCTAAGATCAAGATCAGATTTTTCAAGACTAACCTCCATCCCCTCTTCCAACAAACCATTATTTCTGAGATTTCTAAATTCCAATCTGATTTAGGCAAGTTTCAGTTGCCAGAATGAAGGCTTGGGAGGGCTAGTGCAGGCCCTGCCTCAGTTATGGGAGGCTGGGGGGAAGGCTGGTGCAGACTGACTGTTAATGGTATTGTGGATGAGGAAAGATGAGAGAACAATCCAAAAGGAGAGGGAGGAGCCCATAGTAGTTTAAAGGTCAGAAAAGGAAACTTAGAAAGTTTCTTTGCCTACCCTAATTGATCACAGTTAGTGGTAGGTTGCACCTTCAGACTTGCAAGTAGATTTAGCTCATCTGTCGTAGTCATGTTTCCTGCCTGGTCTATCCAGGAGGGCTGACATTGTGGGGGGCCGTGGGAAAGCCAGGGTGGGTAGGCAGAAGTTCAGGGACTTACTAGAATAGTGGTGACGAACCTATGGCACGCGTGCCAGAGGCGGCACTCAGAACCCTCTCTATGGGCATGTGCGCCATACCCCAGAGATGGCAACTGTCCCTCTTCAACCAGCTGCCTGCTAACTCGCCGAGGTCCCATGTGGTCGGATGCATCCCGGCATGGCTGGCTTCCTCCGCCCCATCCCGTCCCTCCTGGGCTTGTATGCTCTCCTTTTCCCAGGGACGACCCACTACATCACCTCCTCAGCTGTCGGCCGGCCATCCAGCTCAGAGGCGGCTTCTTTGAACTGCTGGTGGTGGGCTGCGGAGCCCCAGAGTGTGCCAGTTGGGGGGCCAGCAGGCTGTGGCTGCTGACAGACACCATCGGCCCCCAGGCGCTCGCTGGCCTCTATGTGCAGGGGCCGATGGTGTCAGGCAGCAGCCGCCCTGGCCCTTGCCTTGCCCCATGGCAATGGCAACCCCACCCTGCCTTGCCTCACCCCGCAGGACAAGTCTCCTGCCTATCACCTCACCTGCTAGAGGCCCCCTGGATCTTCACCCAATCCTGCCCATACCCCACAGGCATCCCTCCCCACGAGCAACATTGAGGTGACCATGCCCATCTTGGCCACACCCTCCCAATCTGCCATGATCACCACAGCCATGCCCACCCAGTGGGCCACGCCCACCTGGCACCCAGCGATAAATGGGCTTTGGGTTGCAGTTTGGGCACTCGGTCTCTAAAA